TGTTGGCGCCGACTTGCTGATTCATTGCAAGGCTCACCTGTGCAGCTGAAGAGAACACCTGTGCAGCTGCATAGCTCATTAATGGCTGAGTGCTAAAAATGCAGCCAGATGAGGAAATTTTTGGCATTGCCCACAATCAGGCAGGCAGACAGCCAGACAGACAGGGCGATAAGGTGCCGGCAAAGGGCGGGGGGTGTGAAGCACAATGCACAGCGCAACTTCCGCTGTCAAGGGTGGAGCCAGCAGGTGCTCGGGAGGGGAGGGGGGCAACATACATAATTACATGGCATTTCAAGCGCCAAGCTCCATTTGAGCTTCCCGTGTTCATGGGGCGGCTGCTGCTGCTGCTGCTGCTTCCCTGGACCAAGCGTAACTGCATTATTAATTGCAGCTTTGATTTATCTAAGAAACAAGCCCCCAGCCTAGACCAAATTGCTCCACTCTAAGCTGGCCAAGGGGTGGCTCGCAGCAGTTTTCCATGACGTTAAACTCGCAAATGTTTAATTGTGGAAATGAGAAATATGCGGAAACGTTGACGATTCCGCTTCAGCAACGTTGCAGCGTCGACTGCACTTGTCGCATCACTTGATGCCAGGCCCGTGCCCAAACCCCAGACCCCAAACCCAAACAGAAGCCCAAACCCTATCTAACTCAAGTCTCTCGCTTCCCCTCTCTCTCCCTCTCGATCTATCCATGCACGCCCATGCCCATTCCCGTTAGCATTAGCCCGACTGCCAGCTGCATGTCGCTGGCATTGTGGGCTGTCTAGCCATCAGCATCTGTAGCTGTCCGTTTCAGTCGCACTCGCTGCTCGACCCGCCTACCGCCACCCGCTCTGCGCTGCCCGCTTTGTCCCTCTACTCTCTACTTACTAAATGACACAAAAATATGGGCTTAACCGGAAACGGATGTATTATCTGCGCTAACTGCGCTGCCTCGGCTCGGTCTCCAGCTCGAGCTCGAGTTCGGGTCGTGGAACTAATAGAATATTATAAATTGTACAGACAGCGCATAGAGACTACATATATATACATACATATATTTATATATGTATGTATTTATATGTATATATATATGAACCTGTGCCCAAGCTATTTTGCCTTCTCCACTGACCCACGCCTGAAGCTGACGGCTCCGCTCATCTGTGTCTACATCTGTGTTCTCTCTTCTGTATGTGTGTGCGTGTGTGTGTTTGGCTGTGTCTCGTTCGTTACGCTTCTGTGCGCATTTTGGACTGTGCTTTTTGCGGCCAGAAGCGTTTTATGCTGTTGTTGTTGTTGTTGTTGTTATTGTTGTCGGCGCTCGCATGCCGCGCATGCAAAATCTACTATGCTCCAATCGCAATGCTCTCATCCCTTTTGCCCTTTCCACATTAGTTTGCTGCATGTGTGTCATGTGGCTGGACAGCGGACAACTGCTCCTCTTCCTCTTACTCTCCTCTCTTTGTCTTTCTGTCTGTCTCTCTGCCTGCTCCACTGCATTCGTTTGCATGTCGAGCACTTGCCGAAGCGCTTTCACTTTTCCCAACTTTTTGTCAATTCAAGAATTCTTGTCGTACATTGAACCCAACTTGTAATATTTTCATGTCCGATAATGTTGTAATAAAATGTATCTACATCAAATGAAGTTTTGTGTAAGCTTTTAATTCAAATCAATTATAAAATTTAATATTAAATACATAGATGCAAAAAATTATAAAATAGAAGAAAGATTTTTTTAAATTTTGTCAATATGAATTGACATAATTTTATTAAAAATATATATATATATTATAAAAAAAAAAATATGTAAAAAATAATATAGTCAATGAAATAATAGTGAACATATTATTAAAAATTTTAATAATAAAAATATTTAATCAAATTAGGAAAAGTAATTATTACGATAAATTAAAATTCTTCACATATATTATAAATAAAACTATTAATATTAAGAGTACCACATAGCATAAATTCATTATTAAAAAAAAAAAAAAAAATAATAATAATAAATCGAACTTAAATATTACAATAAATAAAGTATGCAAAATAAGATAAATTAAAATATTTAATTATATATATACACACATTCTTATTTTGTACCCTTCAGGAGACTTTACTTAAACTTAAAATATTCCAATAAATTAATAATATACTGAACTTCGACAAGTAAATCTTGCTCCTAATATAATTATATACTTTAAGTATTATGTATCACATTTAGGCAAGCCATTGGAAAATTAATGAAATATGTAAAGTTAACGATTTGATTGAAAACTCCGCAAGCCTAACAAAAGCTGAAGTTCTTAGGGTTTCTTAGGCATAACCGTAGCCATAATAAGTAAGCAGGAAAATATCTTATCAACTGCAGCTGCGTCTGGCTGTCTTTGAGGCTGTGAGCCGTTGCGTGGAAATGGAAAAGCATTTGCATGTGCTTAGCAGGATCAGGGATAAGCGCCAGCCAACTGATTGAGTCATTTTTCCTTTTTTCGCTTTTGCTGTTGTAAGGGAAGACAATGCCGCGACCGCCGTTGCTGAAAGTGATCGTGATACGTGATGGAGGCCGCAGATGCGGCGGTGCTGGCATCTCAGGAAGATACACTTCTGCCCATTTCATTCCATTATTCTCATATCCATTGCGTGGCATTCAAGCGATCAGCCAAATAACAACAAACAATGTTCTGTGTAGGGGAACGGGGTGTAAGAAGGGTGCGGAACAGAGAGGCAAAGATGGTAGGGGAGGTATAGCATTCGTAGTCCTTATTATCGCTGCATCCTTTTGTGGCTGTTTTGTTAGCTTTGATCGCTGCTACTTAGCATTTTCCTAGCTGCCTTTGTTGCTGTTGCTATTGCTCTTGTTGCTGTTGTTGTTGTTGTCGATTTGTGCATGCTTCAGTGCATTTTCCACTGCCAACAGTAGCGCCTTTTCCATGACGCTCAAACGAGGCGAGAGACAGCAGAAAAGGGTTACAAACGAAGCAGTTGGCCAACAGATACGTGGATTGAGATAGTTAATGTGATAGGGCCTCTTACAAAACTACAGACAGATGCTCAAATGCCGTATTACTCATTCATCATTAAACATGCTGTTAAGAGTCTACTTAATTAACTAGTTATCTAATATGTCTTTGGCACAAAACAGGTATGAGCGTAGATGCACTTTAATTAATGATACATAGCTTGAAGTAGTGGAAAAGATCTGCTGGTACTGATATGGAAAATCAATTTTACAATCTCTTAGGACAATATGTTGGTCTGTAAATTGCATTGAATACTGATGAGATTTAAAATACAATTGTAATTTTAGTTAGTAAAATCTAATAAATAAGAAATTAAGGATTTAAAACATAATAACAAATTTTAGTAATTTGTAATCATAATTTAAAAATTTTGATATATAAATAATAAAAAAAAATAAATAAATAATAAAAAAAATAATAAAAAAAATATATTTAAAAATAAATAAATGTAAAAAAATATGTATGAAATAAATAAAAGTATTAAAAATAAAAAACAAATACATAAATATAATAATAAATTAATAACCACAAAAATAATACTAAAGTAATTTTAAATATATACATATATGTATATAAAAAATAAAATACAATTTTTTTTTCTTACATTAAACAATAAACTATTATTCGATGCAATTTAAAAGAGTTTTCTATTTCTTTTTTAAATATTATAATATTAATTATATTATTAAAACTTATATATAAGAAAACTTCAAATAAATAAAATCATTAAAAAAGCGAACTCATATGTGTTTAGCCAAAATAAAATAGAATTATAAATTATATACTATATGAAATATGTACTTATTTTCGACTCTTTTCTCTTTACCATTTCGCCAGGGACAGAAGGGAACAGAACAACGCGTCGAAACAGCATGTATTATCTTGTCAAAATTCCAATTCGATCAGTTGAAATAGAAAATGTTCAGCTGGAATCCGAGGCGATATTGGGAGCTATGGCCCTACGAGATGCCGCTTCACCACTTTCCGGGCCATCCCCAGCTGCCGCAGGAGCCGGCGCTGCAGCGGCCGATGCGGCAACTGCGTGCCACATACACGCTGCACTTCGATGCAATGGCTGAGGCTGATCAGTACGAAAGGGCTGAGAAGCTAACCTTTATGAAGCGCTGCTATCTGCTGGCCGCTCTATTCACTGTGGCTGGCCAGTTCCAGTGGCTGCTGCTGGCAGGGCTGCTGGATAAGCATCGCCTGTTTTGTCTGCCCGGATTCATCTGCATGGTGTTGGCCCTCGCTGCTCTAATTCTGCTCACTTTCTGCATGCGTTGGCGCTCCCATTTCTGGTACGTCTGTCTCTTCTCCTCGATCTTTGTGGAGACCATCGTACTGAGCATAGTTCTGCTGCTGCCCGAGCGAACGATCGTCAATATTCTGGCTGCCACTGCCTCATCCCTGGCTGGTCTGATTCTCTTTTATCTGCTCGGTGCCCTTCTGCCCATGATTGTGCTGCCGGGCATCGTAGTCTTCTCAGTCATTCTAATCGTGTTCACCTTGGCCAGCGTCACTGTCCTCATCCTGTTCATAGTGACGGACCAGCAAACATATCACTCCATCTACTTTGGCATCCTCTTCTTCGCCACGATGCCCATGTGTCTGTTCCATGCGCAAATCGTGCACGGCCGCAGATATCAATTGCCCAAAGAGGAATACGTGACCTGTGCCGTTATCATCTACATGCACCATGTTCTGTTCTTCATGGCCATTTACTACTATATGTGGGTCTTTGACTGGTGACCATTGATTGGCGGAACAAATATATGTGTTTATATTGTATTTTTAAATAGATCGGTAATTGTCCAATTAATATATGCAGTCTAATGTTGTTTAAATACATGTTTTATCAATGTAGCTTGAT